GCGACTCGGCGGGTGACACGGAAACATGGCGCAGCGCCCCTCCCCCGCCCGCCTCCCCGCGCTCCCGCCTCGCACTTCCTCCCGCCCGCGCGGCTTTTGCAGTTCTGCTCTGCTGTCGGCCCGGCACCATTACGCCAGCAGCCTCTCCGAGGCGGCCCCGCGCGTCTCTTTCCCCTTTGTTTTCGGGGTCTATAGAAAACGTTTGCTTTTGTCCCGAGCTCTCGTTAAACCAAACTTGTGGTGGCAACGCCAGGCGCTGCGGGCGGGGAGGGGCCCGGGGATTTTGGCAGCAGCCGACCAGAGCGTGGTGGAAACTTCTCTCGCTGGGTTCCCCGCCACCCCGCCTTCCTCTCTCCCCCCCTACACACACACACACACACACACACACACACACACACACACACACACACGCAGGCCAGCAGGCCTGCCGACGCTTCCCCCTTCTCCCCAGAGAGGCCTCAGCGCTCCAGGAAGGAGGTCTGGGCCTGAAGAGCCTGGGGTGCGTGTCTGTGAGCCCCGAGTTTGGGGCACTCGGTGACCTGGCTCCTGGCGGCCCTGACTTGCCTCTCCCTCTCCTTGATCTTTGGGGCTTTGTATGAGCCGGTGGAAAAGGAAGGGGAGAGAAGAGAAGAAAGTGGTTCGTGTGTGGGGTTTTTATGTTGTTTGTTGGAACCTCTCACCCCCGCTGTACAGCCTCCTTTATAGGATCTCGGGGGAGAAAGGGGACCGTGGGCTCCACGGGGAAAGGGTCAGAACCTTAGGCCTGGGAGCTGGACCGTCCTCTGCTGGCTGGCTCGGCCACCCTCCTGCAGAGTGGGGGCCAGGTCCCTCCATACAGAGACACCAAACCTCCCTCCCCGGCGCGGGAGCGCCAGGCCCCCCTCCCCCCTGGCGCGCTCCCCAGTCCTGCGCGAACGCCCGTGGCTCTCCGCACTGGAGCTGCTCAGGCGGCAATTTTTTAAGCCTGCAATTAAGCGAGGCGTCGCCGTGTCCTCTGCTAGTGTCGATCCTGTCAGTCGCACATGGCCTTGGTGCTCCGGTCCGAGGCCCCGCGATTAGTCACAGGCTCGCTTCGCTCCTTCCCTAATCCGCCTCTGCAGGCAGCCTGGGGACGCGGCCGACTTGGCGGCGTTGGCAGGGAGCCACCGCGCGCGGGGCGGGCTGCCTGGCCAGTCCCAGCCCCGCTGCGCCTGAGCCGGCGCGGGCCCCGGGGTGCGGGCTTGGTACTCCCTCCCCTCTCGCAGCCTCCAGGCTGGGGCGGCGGCGCCCCTCCTTCTCGTCCTCCTCCCGGGCCCTGGGAGATCTATTTGCGTGGTGTCATTTGTGTTTCAGTGCGTTCGAACGCGGGGAGGCGAAATCCTTATTGATGTGCCTGTGTGGAGCCCTGGGGTTGTCGGAGCGGTTTGATTTAGGGTGTTTGTGTTGCCTTAAGCGAGAAACGAGAGGAAATCCTCGCAGCGCCTTCGGCGGGCCAGGCCCCCCGGAGCATCCCCCCCGTGCGCCGCGCGGAACTGTCCGCCGCCTGGACCTCGGCGCGCCGAGCCCACAGCGAGCAGGTTGAGGGCCAGGCGGGCGGCCCATTATGACTCATAAAACCGGGCGGCCTAATCACCAGCTGCCAACCCGTTTACGTGTGGCGCTTCCCAATGCTCCGTTCGCCCAGCCCGGGCCTCCAGCGGTTCGCCCCGCTCCGTGGGGACGAATCCAGTGGCCGCTCTTGCCGGTGGGCAGCAGGCCTTCCCTTCCCGGGCGACCCCCTCTCTCCCGGCCTTTGCGCCGCTCGCCAGCAACTCCTCGGCTTGGACAAATAGCTTTGGAGGGCGCCGGCCGCGCGGAGCCAGTAAATCAATCATTAACTCCCCAGCGAAACCCTGGCCAGGGGAGGGGGGGAGTGGCGCCAGAGCGAGCCGTGGGGCGAGCGCCAGGCCCCCCGCTTCGGGTTAGGAGCCATCCACGTGCCAGCCTAGGGGCGTGGAGGGGCAAGTCTTCCCTTCCCCCTCCCTTCCCCCCCCCCCCCCGGGGGCTTTTTGAACCCCCTTTAAGGAAAGCCTTTTGCTT